AAAAAAAAAAATATCATACTATTAAAAAGTACCATAATTTATAAAATATATATATATATATATTTTAAATAGAATAATGAGCCGACCCGACTAACAATTAAGTTGCCTGATACAATATTGTGTCAGGCATATATAGGTATATGGTAATGTAATGATATGTTTTTAAATTAAAAATTAATAATTACTATACAATTTTGAGAGATATTATAATTCATTATTTGGTGAGAAGTCCTTGTACAAATGTCATCTCCCCTATACCATTAGAGAGGTTCATTTTCACCATAAAATAGATGGTTATATTGTGATTGAAAAGAAATGTGCAGAATAAATTAACCTTATTAGGCGCAACCTTTTCAGAATTTACATTATTTATTTACAATTTGGGACCCCAATTCATATTATTCACCTAATGTGTCTAACCAAGTCCACTTATGTATGTAATATATGTTCTGCTTTAATTAGTGTCAATATAAAAATGATTATCAAACACGATGTTGATAAGAATAAAAATGTGTGGCCAACTTAATAAGAGGAACATAAATAAAGAAGAAAACAAAAACAAGTGGGAGAATAGCGTTACGCTAATAATTGAGCATATGCATAGGCTAAAGGTCCGGGGAGTTTGCATAAGCTGGAGAGCCCTCCGTCGGGTACGAGCGTCTAACTCCAACATGATTTGGCGGGAGTGTCTTATCCCTGCCCGGTTCTTCATTAGGCTTTGCTCTAGCCTCCCTTTCTTGCACCGAAAAAAAATAATAATTGAGCATATGCATGTGAGGGCCTTTCACATAAACAAATCACAATCAGTCACATGAATTAACTAAAAGGAGAAATACTGATAAGTAATAAGATAAAAATAATTGTAAGTACAATAGTTGTTGTTGCTCTAACATGTTTTGCTTAAGTTTTGCAAAAACACGGACTTGAGTTTGACATTGTAACAACGAATATTATATAGTAATGTTCGGTTTATGTTCCCATTTATTCCTCCATTTTTTTTTTAATTTTGTAAAAGAGAGTTAGATGCTGCAGTCCCGTTACGAAACTATTATTCTATCGGAGTTTGTAACCGTTAGATCAACTATCTCCTACGGTCACATGATCTAATGGTTAGAAACACAGACAGAATGATTCCTTAACGGGAGCATAATATTTTCAATTGTTATTATTATTACAGAATGGAAGTTGGAGAGTTAGTGTTTGAACGGTGGAAGTTAGGAAGTTAGTGTTTGAACGGTGGAAGTTAGGAAGTTAGTGTTGTAAACTCAAAGTGGTATTTTTCCTATGTTAGAAGAGTTCAGGAAAAAAAAATTATATTCCAGATGAAGAAATTTTAGGTAGATATCAGTTTTCAAAGAGGAAACTTGTTAATTATACATTTTTCCTCCCTCAAAATACTAATTGTAGTTACTTTGGGGGAAAAAGAAAAAAGATATGCCCATCTATCTTAAATCTTCTTGGTTAGTCCTAATCGAGTTAGTACCAAGAAGTGATATAATAGTACTGATACGAACGAGACAACTTAATCGTTAGACAGGTCAACTTGTTCGTTAACAAAAATTAATATTCTTTTGCGATGAAATATGATGATTTTTTTTTTTTTACGTTGTTTTTTAAAATATAACTTTAAAATATGCACATTTGTTGAAAAAATAGGAGTTAGCTAACACCAAGCTTACTTCAGCATTGAAATGCATGGGGTAAACGAGCTCCAAAAACAACTGCGAACATCTTGAAATATCACAAATGACGTTTTGAGGCTGCCTAATTGATACATGATTCTAAAATAAATATCACAAATGACGTTTTGAGGCTGCCTAATTGATACACGATTCTAAAATCTGACTGTGACGACACAATAAAAACCATAAATACAAGCAAAAAATGATTGTACAACATAACATCTATACTTCACTTGACATCTCTACGAACAGACCCAAGAGAAATTGCGTGTTTGGTTGGCTACTTGAGGCCGTTGAAGGGTATATCATCAATTTCTTGCACATAATATCAACAGAGAAGACTTAAAGATTGTGCTTAGCAAAAATCTCTTCATACGTCTGTTTTCCCCCTTTTGGCCTTTTAAAACATTGGTCAATATAGAAATTTCGAGATCACGCACGGTATTCTTGAGCAAAACCGACACCAGTATATCACGCACCCTCTCGAATGCCCGTGTTCGTAACAAACACGACGAAACGAATACTTACCAAATGAATGGATAATACAAAATAACACATACAAACTTATAACGAGGAGTAGTAGTTCTTGTAAAAACACCAAACCCGTATCAAACTCTTACCTTTTTCCTGTTATAAATATACGACTTTGCAAAGTAAAGGTAAGCGGCGAACGCGACTGAGCTCAGCCCCGCCAGCAGCCAATAGAAATAATCGAGGTGGGCCCGGTTCAAATTGTTCGAGAACCACCCGTCCCGTCCTGGCCCGCCCGTGGCCTTCTCAATAACCGAGATGAGAAAACTGCTTATAAAGCTACCTATCCCGAATATACTGAGGTACAGAGCAAGCCCAACACTTCTCAAATCGCACGGGACCTGATCGTAGAAGAATTCCTGAAGCCCGACCATTGTGAAAGCCTCCGAGATTCCAAAGAGAGAATACTGAGGCGTGAGCCACCACACGCTCATGGGCACCGTGGCCTCCGGAAAGTCAACCAGCCCGTGGTCAAATGCCGTTTTCAAACGTCTTTGCTCGACAATTGCTGCGCTAGTCATCGAGATTAGAGATAGGAATATTCCGGTGCCGATCCTTTGGAGCATGGAGATTCCGGAAGGATTATTGGACACGGATCTTGCAATAGGAACCAATATACGGTCATAAACGAGGATGAAGACGACTATGGAGAAGCTGATGAGTGACTGGAGGGACGCGGGCGGTATTTCAAAATTTGAGGTCAAGTGGCGGTCCATGGTGGATCCTTGTTTGGTGAATAGGGTCGAGGACTGGGAGAAAACGATCGCGTAGGCCAGGCACGTGACCCATATTGGGATGAGCCGGAGGACCGATTTTGCTTCCTCGACCTCGTTGACGGTACAAATCGTCACCGTCTCGTCTTTGTTTGAGTCGTGGGGCCCACGCAAAGCTTTGTTGAGGAACCTATTTTAAACCAAGCAAATGCATTTAAGTCTAAAAAACGCCAAATTGCAGTGAGAGAACTATCATTTACTACACAAGCGTAAAAAAGTAAAAACACAAAACTACTAATTAGGTTTAGGCTAATAGCAAAAATGGTCGAATTTTTTTTTTCTTCGAATTTCGAGGAATCATCTGCTTGATGAGTCATGAATAACCCATTGTGTTCTCTATTTGCTCAAACATTTCAATACTCTTTGACCCAGTTGAGGGTACAATACATGACAGAAAGAGAATGAAGGGTTCTTTAAATAATTAGACTGAACCTCAAGAATAATTTTCATAACACTACTTTACAGTTTTACACGGTGAGGTTTTTTCATTAGCAGGTAATATGAGTCCACAAAAGTTTCCAAATTACAACATCAATTCTATTAAGTGCATGAGTACTTGCGTGCTCTGGATCATAGTCAACAATCAACATAGATTCTCAAAACCTCCTCTAAGGCAAAGGAGATTACAATTTACAGGCATTAATCAATCCTATTATATCTTCGCATAAAACCACCATAACTGACTTACTGATATTGTCGAAAACCTTCATAAGGCAAAATCCCCTGAGCTTCAGCCTCCATGGATATAGCTGATGACTTCATCCGCCAATTCCTAGCAGCCCGGATAAATACACAGCCGATTCGGACCAACGCGTTCCTATCATCACTCTGCACTCGAAACCTGTAAGTAAAAGTCCCAAGCAAAAACACAACTAAAGCAAGACACATGACGGCACAAGGGATTCCAAAGCCAAGCCCCCAGCTCAAGTTGTCCTGGATGTAGTTCAAAACCAGCAGGGCTACCAAGACACCTCCGCAAAAGCAAAAGTACCACCAGTTGAAGAACGAGCTCTTGGCATTACGCTCTTTCGGGTCCTGCTCGTCAAATTGGTCAGCTCCAAAAGCTTGGACACAGGGTTTGTGCCCTCCTTGAGCTAAGGCAACTGTGTACAAGGAGAAGAAGAAGAGAGTGATCTGAACTGGCGGTGGGGAACAAGAGGTATTTGTCGGATTTTGGCAGTCAGGTGAGACGGATGAATAGACAGCAGCCAAGAGAGACAAACACGCAAGTCCCTGTAAACAATAATGAATTATTCAAAAAGAAAAATAAAAACATGCACACAAAAACAAAATTTGGTTCCTCCTCGTACTAACAATGAGCTTACTCATGAAGCAAGATAATCAAGTCAAAAGGGATCACTCTTTTTCTATTCCAACCTTAGCAGAGAGTTCAAAACACTAGGGAATCACTTTTTCTTTTCTGGGTGTGTTTGCAAAAGCTTTCTTTTTTTTTTTCGGTAGCCAACCACGGTATTGGGAGCTTTGCCCCGACTAATCTGTTGGTCGACTCGGGTCGCACACCTGGCAATGGTGGGTGAGTCTCCCAACAAGAGCTTTCTGCAGAAGCTTTCTTTAATACTGAGGTCAATTTGTTTTAAAAAATATCCAAAATTGAACCAATCAGTATTAGCTTTTCGTCTTCTAATTGTGTGCCCATTCAAACACTACACCAAAAAACTGGGTAGTGCTCAACATGATTTCAGGCAAACCAAGTACTACCCATCTAGGCAGCCACTCAATTAATACATACAAAGTGACAAGCTACATGAATACAAAGTACATATTTATACAACGCACCATAAATTTTTATCCAAAAGAATCAACGACTGACCAATATATACAGAACAGAAGCCACAATAATCATCCGGTACCGGCCCAAAAACGAGTCCGCCACAAACGCACCCAGCAGCGGCAAAAGGGACGCCGTTCCAGACCACGCGTTCACGTTCGCCGCCGCCGCAGCGGTGGACTGCCCCAGAGGTCCCGTCAAGTAGCTTATCAGATTCGAGCTAATGCCGTAGTAAGCGAATCTCTCCGCTACTTCAACGCCTGATTGTCAAATCACAAAAATCGTAGGGTGAGAGAGAGAGAGAGAACAAACGAAGCGATTGGATGGTTAGGCTTTCTGACTTTACCTATGATGAAGGCTGCGGATCTCCAGCAGCCGGATTTGGATCTGGGGACGGGGGCGCCCCTGAAGTCCACGGATCCCTCGACGGCGTCGTTCAGGAGAGGAACTTCGGCATCGGAGACGGCGGCTGAGGCTGCGGCGGCGGCCATGGCTGCTGGCCTGGTCCCCGTGTAAGCCACAAAAAAAACAGATACGACGATGACAATGAATTAATGATTG